AAGCTTTGGGCACTACACTCTTTGGCTTCCTAACACATTAGCCTGTGGGGGTTCAGAATGAGCCACCCAAGATGTGCCTCTGTGGTATGAGGATTATTGTGAGCTAAAACCAATTTTAGCTTCATGCTCAAGAGAAAGGTCTGCCCCTTCCTTTAACTACCTAATTAAAGAGTCGTCCTCAGACAACTCTTTAATTAGGGATCCTTCCCTAAGTAAGAGACTATCATAGATAATATCTTTTGACCCACTTATATGTCAGTGATAACTTTTATTTACTAAATATCTGCTCTTCTTATCATCCTTCATTGACTCTTTAGAGCCCTAAAGAACATTATCTCGTCCCTAGTTCCGACTGTCTTGTATACCCCAATTATCTTTCCTATGCCTAAACTTTTAGTATATTTGGGGTTCCCATACATATGTATGTATTAATTTGGTTATTTTCTCTTGCTAATCTGTCTCGTGTCTACTTGATTTTTAAACCATTCAGAAGAACATTGAAAGTAGAGGAAAGTTTGTTCCTCCTCCACATGTCAAATCAATGAGAAACTTCAGACATATCAGAAGTTAATAGTTGCCATTTAGTCCCACATTATAAAACCTTGTTAATTATAAGACACAGATTTATATAAATTTATGCTATATAATCTGGGCTATGTGGCTTCATCAAATTTTAATTTTATAAAAATCTATTCTATGAAGTGGTACTATTATGAATGCCATTCCCCATTGCAAAAATGGGGCTTGAAGAGTTTAGTGATCTGTCTGAGATTATAATCAGAGTAAAGAATAGGTGTTGATTGGAATCTGTCAGGATGCTTCAGTTTTCAAACTCTGGGCTAGTGGTTCCCAACCAGAGATGGTGTTGCCCTTGGGCTATTTGACAATGTCTAGGGAAGTGCTAAACACCTACACGCCCCAAAACAAAGAGTTATGTCTAATTGAGAGGATGAGAAAACCTAGACTGGACCAGCACTTCTCCAACTTCAATGTGCATATGAATCACCTAGGATTTTAGTTCAAGTACTGATACTGATTCAGCAGGGACTGTTGGGCCCAGGGACTCTGCATTTCTCACAAGCTCCAGGAAGATGCTGCAGGTCCTGGTCTGAAGACAACTCTTGGATTGGCAAATCTGAGGTCCTATAATAGTTTAGGAACAAGTAGTTGTGAATCACATTTTCATAAAATTTTGAATGAAAAAATGAACAGTCACGTACTGCATGACAACGGGGATATCTGAGAAATACATCAATAGGTTGTGAGAACTTCATAAAATACACTTACATGAATCTATATGTTATAGGCTATGACACACTTAGGCTATGTATTATAGCCTATTGTTCTGTAGTGGAGAAAAAACATTTTTTCCCCTATGCTTCTGCGTTCTTGGCTGATATATCCATCTATCTATCTATCTATCTATCTATCTATCTATCTATCTATCTATCTATCTATCTAATCTTTCATCTATCTATCATCTATCTATCTACCTACCTATCATCTATCTATACTGAATGTATGCCCTCACTCAAGTTTGCATTTTAGAAAAGGGCAAAACTGTCAACATTTAAACTGACAGTAAATATGCCTTTTGAGTAGTTTATGACTTTGGAATGTTATGAAAGCAACATGCGTTACTTAACTCCAGTGGAGACAAAATTTAAGATGGTTCATATGTTCAGGAATTATTGGATGCTATACTTTTCCCTGATGCTTTATCTGTTATTGAAATTCCAAGACTTTCTAAACCCGACACCTAGGAAGCTAAAGGAAATCACCTTCTGATGTTTCTGCTAAGAGTGCGGCCCTTCAAGCCATCAGCCACTGTCAAACCTCTGTGCTGGCTTTAAGACATATTTTCCCAGTTGATAACTTTGAAAAACTGGCCAAAGAAGCCAAACAATTGGCTTTGGAAAAAGAAAAACAAGTATGGAAATCCAACAATTGCTGGTTTGATAAGAAATGAAAGCCCTAATTCAGACCAAATAATAACCCCATTGTACAAGAACTCTAAAATTTCCACTCCTGACTGCTGTACACGCAATAAACCATTTGACCACTGACAAAATGACAGCATTCATGTATCAGTATTAGAAGGGAGATATTAACAAGGCCACAAAAGTGCCAAACTTCAGTATCCTACCTGTCCAAAGTACAACCTGGGGAAGCCTGTTCATATTGTCCCTGGATGTTTCAAATTGCCTAAGGGCCCATCTAAGTTTTAGTAAATAGATTTCATACAGTTTCTCCCAACTCATGGACACAAGTATATTTTAGTCATATGTATGCTTTCTCACTGGACTGAAGCTTTCACTTCCAGACAAGCTAAAGCCTCTCCAGTGTTGAAGTCCTGCTAGAGAAGATTATTCCCACTTGGGGAACTCCTCTCCAGCTGCACAGTGATGGAGGACCCACTTCACTGGTCAGCTGTTCCAATGAGTCTGTGCTGTTGGGCCTATTCTACGGCATTTTCACTATGCTCACCGTCCTCAGTCTCCAGGTTTAGTTGGACATACTAATGGCATTATTAAGATTCAGGTGGCAAAATTAGTAGAAACTCTTCAAATACTTTGGCCAAAAATATTGCTGTTCATCCTTTTAAATCCCAATTCGACCTCTTTGGGGGCTCATAAGCTTTCATTTTTTGAGATGCCCCATACATTTGGCTCCTGCTTCTTTTGATCCACAGTTGGTAAAAGGAGACATGCTTAAATATCATAAAGGTGAATTGCTTCTATTGAAAATATTCATGCTTTGGTATGATAACCTTTTCACAGTGCACTCCAAAGAGATGAAAAACTCAAAATCATACTCGATAACCTGGAGATTTCGTTTACTGGCAAAGACACCTCGAAAAATATTCCCTCTAGTGCGTGTGAAGGGCCCTTACTGGGTGCTGTTGACTGACCCCTGTGCCGCTAAACTCTGGGGAGTTGACTCTTGGGTGCATGTGTCATACCTAAAGAAGGCTCCAAACTCGGACTGGATCTGCACACTGTCTGATGACATGAAACAAAAGCTGTCCAAAAATTAAAGCAGCTGACCTTTGAAAGAAATAGTCAAAATGACTGAATCAGGCCTGTACAACTCTTCTCTTACTATCGATTCTTACTTCATTTCTCTCTTTTTCTTGGAAGAAACATGCCGTTGTTTATGTCTCCTAAGCTCTTGTGAAAAGGAGGGAACTTTTCTGGTTATTGAATCTGTCATCAAGAACTTTGATCTATCTAAGAGAATAATGATCTTTATTTCATTATTTACAGGTTTGAGCCCCTGGTTTAAATTCATCATCTGGACTAGGTTGTTATGTTGTTCTATATTTGTTTTGAATTTTTCTTATTATTGAGTTTTGCAGCTGTTGCTTGTTGACCCTAACACGAGCTGTGCTCGATATATGCACCTCCCCTCTGACGTGAGAGATGGCATCCAGAAGAGGTCCTTCCTGACAGAGGGACAAAAAAGCTGCTGAGTTTAAAGACCTGACTGTTGATCATCACTGCTTTCAGAGAAAGAGCTGTATCAAAATGGGGGAGTGATAAAGATGAACTGGAACTTTAAGCAAACATAATTAGTCGGGAAGGTCTTTGGGAGGAGCTAAGGCTTATAACATTTCTTGCATTCAGCGTATTCATGAGAAACTTACATGTGAGAACCCTGCAGGAAGATATCTATTTTTATAATAAAGCTCTATAGTTGTAATTTCCCCTTTCATTAACTTCCTTTTTTCTTCTATAAATATCCCTCCACCTTGACACACAGGCCAGAGGGAGCACGTGGCAACCAAACTATGGCAATTATAATAAGCTGCTGTTTTTAATTTTTGGCATATGTTGTGATGTTTGGAGATAGCATTTATGACCATTTTATTATTCAAATTTATTTTTGATAACTGTATTGACAATTGGCTCTAATGAGGATTGCTTCCAGGTAACCAGGAGAGGTCAGAAGGACGTGCATCTTAGCACAAACCCTGCTGACCCAGAATCATATGACAGGGCAGAAACTCAAGCTCTCCTGTGAGTCACACTCATGTCATGAAGATGGAAGTGATTCCTACATATGAGGAATTATGAAATGGATGATATTGATTTGTTCATTCATTATTCATTTAGTGGTTATGACAAAATTAAAAAAAGTGGAGATATTTTGTTTGTAGAAATCATATTTGTAGGCAAGATTGAAATTTTGGAGTACAAACAGGAAGATAATTTAGTAATAAAATGAAAATACACCAACAATCCTTCACTTCAATGAAAACAGGCCCTCACACATGGAATCCATCTTCTATACTTCAGGAGTAGATTACCGCATGAAAAAGAAATATTTTGCTTACTAATCAACTGAGTAATGTTTCCTCATATTTAAGATAAATTCTTTCTTTCTAAAGTGAATATTAAGTGAATCTATTTATCAAATTTGAATTTCCTGACGACTCTACCTTCAATTTTTGTCGGGGACTATGGTAGGCATTGTAGACTCCAAACTCAATAAAGTAAAAAAGTAAGAGTCCAGTTAAAAAACCAGCAGAATGTTAAAGTTCATGTTATCAGTAAGACCAGTTAAGGGAGTGAAATTAAATAGAATGACAGACCCAAAGTGACACTGTATTTCCGTTTTTTATAAAACATCATGTTAATGAACTTAGTCAACAAGCATAGTTTGCGATATGTGAGTTACACAACACATGAATATTCTATCAGTAACATAAAATAAAATTCTTGAGATAACATGATCATTTGAGAAGAAATTTTTCCTAAGAAATCCATACGAATTCACACAATAATTGGGATTTTCCAAATATTTTTGGTTCAAATTTAGGTAAAACTTTTAAGACTGGGAAAATGTACAAGGGAGGAAAATGTTCATATATTAGAGAAGAAAGTATTATAAGCTGAATTACTTACATTGTACAGAGAAGGTGAATTAAGAAAATGGAAATTCCAGCTAATAAATAGAAGAGGCACATTGTATTTCCACATTTTTTGGCATCACAGCTTTTAGTCTTTCAGTCCCAGGGAGTTCTTCAGCCCTAAAACAGTTGGTCCTTTTATAGCTGCCATCGCATAGAATTTTTTCAAAGCCCCCTTTATGTCTTTGTTCCTGAGACTGTAGATGAAGGGATTCAACATAGGTGTGACCACTGTGTATATCACTGAGGCTATTGCACTTGAGTGTGTGCTGTGGGTAGAGGCAGAGCTGAGGTACACTCCTAGACCTGTACAATAAAATAAAAAGACAACAGAGAGGTGAGACACACAAGTAGAAAATGCTTTATACTTCCCCTGAGCTGATGACATTCCACGAATGCAAGAAACTATCTTAAAGTAAGAGTAAAGGATCCCAGTAAAGGGAATACCAGCAAACAGTCCAACTGAAAAATACATCATTACGTTATTAAGAAAGGTGTCAGAACAGGCAATTTGGATCATCTGATTGAGTTCACAGAAAAAGTGGGGGATTTCCAAGACTGTACAGAAAGATAGTTGCAACACCATTAAGCTTTGTAACAAGGAAGACAGGGCACTCATGATCCAGGACACCAGAAGCAGCAGTCCACAGAGCCGGGGGTTCATGATGACTGTGTAGTGCAGGGGGTGACAGATGGCCACAAAACGGTCATAGGCCATCATGGTCAGAAGGAAGTTGTCCAACAGTCCAAAGAGCATTAAGAAGTATATTTGTGTGATGCAGTCTCCATAAGTTATGACTTTGCTCTGTGTTTGGATGTCAAACAGTATCTTTGGGACAGTAGTAGAAGTGAAACAGATGTCTGCAAAGGACAGGTTGGAGAGGAAGAAGTACATGGGTGTGTGGAGGTTGGAGTGCGAGGTGATGGCCAGAATGATGAGCATGTTTCTAAACAGGGTGATCAAGTACATGGAGAGGAAGAGCCCAAGAATGAGGGGTTGCAGTTCTGGTTCCTCAGAAAATCCCCAAAGAAGAAATTCTGTAATCCGTGAATAATTTTCTGGTACCATGTATTAGTGGTTATGTCTACGAAATACAAATTTAAATAATTATTTAACAGACATGAACATTACTAGCATCTTGAAATGCTACAATTAATGTTTTGCAGTAAAATGTATATATGACATATGGGTGGTTTTCTGGAGATCATATCTCCTTTAAACTATTTTCCCCAGCATCTCTAAATAGGAATTCCTGTCCCACTATCAGCAATTTGCCAAATAAATCATAATTATACAGGTTTAATGAGAAATTTTCACATATAAATTCTAATATTCTTGCACCGATTTCATGTTTATTTGACTACTCTTGTTTTTATATGGCACTTGGTGAATGAGGCTGGCCCTTCTCTCACTTTTCTCGTGGAATCTTTTTTTGTTATTCTTGGCTTTGGGTTTTGACCTCTTTCATGACACATCTGATAGGTTCGCTAATCCTAGTTCTGTTCCATTTTCAACATGCAAAGTCCTCCCCAGACATATTACTGAAAATCCTGCTTATGCTACAACTATTGGTCCCCTTTCTTCATCCATTTATCCCTGAGGAAATGATGTCATACCACACTCATTGTGAGATATGTGTTGAGTCCTGACCTTTCTTTCTCCCATCAAGGAAAATAGGGTGCTGAAAAACAAAAGTCTCTACAATCCAAAGATAGAGAAAGAATACAAGTGAAAAATCATGCACATTGTTAGATGCTGCATTTGCTCTGAAAAAAAAAAAAGAAAGTAGGTATAATAGAGAGATGTGTGTGTGTGTGTGTGTGTGTGTGTTTTTAATAGAATTGAGAACTCTTTCTTTCTCCCATCAAGGAAAATAGGGTGCTGAAAAACAAAAGTCTCTACAATCCAAAGATAGAGAAAGAATACAAGTGAAAAATCATGCACATTGTTAGATGCTGCATTTGCTCTGAAAAAAAAAAAAGAAAGTAGGTATAATAGAGAGATGTGTGTGTGTGTGTGTGTGTGTGTGTGTTTAATAGAATTGAGAACAATCTGGAAACAAGGTACCATTTGAATAGAAAACTCAAGAAAAGCACAGAATAGACAGAGAGCTATCTGGGGAGGAGTATAGCCTGCATGGAAAAGAGCCAGTGCAAAGGTCATGAGGGTGGCACTTGTCTCAAGTAATTACACTGAAAAGGAAGCCACGTCGTGAGGGGAATGAGCAAGAGGGAGATGATAGGGATGCTGTCAGAGAATGTGGTGGAATGAGATGGCCTGTCTGCTACAGAAGAAACTTTAAGACACAGGGACTCATTCAATCACATGCTGTTCCTTAAACTTTATTTTCCTTGCATGGGATCCTGTGAGGTGAAGTGACGCCTTCTTATTTCCATCAATTGATTGACATTCTGTATCTATGCTTTAAAGAACACATTTCAGAGTATATGAGCTAGCTACCCCCATCTCAAGAAGTGGAGAAATGCTCATGCTCCACAAACCACACACACTCACACCCAGACACACACACTATGTCCTCCTGGGGTAGTGTTAATACCAGCTTCTACTCACCCCCAGAAACAATAATGAGGAGAGAAATAGAAATAATGCAAGGCAAGATAATATCAGGTTATCTTGCCCCTACAGGTTATAAAAATAGTTCCCAAGTTCACTTGATAACCGCTAAATCAACATGTAAAAATGAGGCTCCATTTTCATATAACTATTTTCTGCCCTTATATTAAAAATCAGTTAAACAAACAGAAATATAGAAATATGACAGACAGACAGACAGAAAGAGACAGAGACAGAGACAGATCTAATAATCTCCGGTGGTCCCTGAGAGATTGTGATGAAGAGAAAGCATCCTTGGTTACGGTGACATGCCAACCATAGTTGTTTTGCCTTATGCCCAGAATAATCAATAAAATAGCAAATAACAATTTACTCAAAACAAAAAAGAGCAATATCTTCATGGCGTCAAGAACCCTTACAGATCAAACACCTTACTAGAAGATTTGCAAAGAATAAACCTACAATTTACAAAAGGAAATATACAATGATAGAAAAAAGGAGGGTTTTTTAAAACTGAAAAGAGACTTTAATAAATAACATTAAGTACAAAACCTTGGGAATCAGAAAACCCAGCTGTGATTCTGAGCTCTACCACCTCTTAGTTTTTTGAATGAGGAGAGACAGCTGGACATTCTAAGTGCTAATATCCTCACCCAAATAGTGCAGACAGTGGTATCAGTTCGGAATGGTGACAGATTTGAACAACATATATAACATGCTTAGCAATGTTAATCACTTATTTCCTGTTAGTAAATAAATGATTATCACTGTGATGAGATGAGGCTGATCATTTTTTTCTACTACTAATGTCTCCATTGCTTCCCCATGTCTAGGCCCCCAATTCCACAACCATATTTTAATTTTCTGTCATCTCTCCATCTTCTACAGGCTAGAAATCTAATACACAGATAATTGCATTGACCCATGGAGATCTCTGTATATTGAAACTGTTCATAAAACTCACATTAAACTCCAACCCAGTGACTCCGTAATGGAGATAGATGCTCAAATTTCATAGCTTCAAACATTAGCCTCAAGTCTCTGCGAACTTTCCACACACTTTAGTCACATAGAACTCTGCCTGTGCTCACACTAAGCTTCCAAACGTTGAACTTGACTTCCAGCTTCACCTGACACCACAGCAACAAGGCTCAGAGCCTTTACACACACACTTCCCTCTGCTTGCAGTCTCCCCACGAGATGTTTTGGAACTTTTCATCCCCTCTCCATCCTCCAAACGCCACATCCTCAGTTGGATTACTTGCATCTTCTCCTTCATGAGTCTTTTCTTTTTCTGAACATTATCACAGGAAAAGGATACTTTCTCATCAAGTTAATCACATATTAGGATGCCTATGGACTAATTTTTATTTTGTTTCATATCTTTTCTCCCTGCTACACAGTGAGTGCGGTGAGGCATGCAGCATGTTATACACATCGCCATCCTCCCACTAGACTTACCTGATTTGGGAACTGTAGCTGAATAAATAAGCATTCCATGGAGGGATGAGAGAACATTCACACAGAAATCGTTGATGATGAGAGAAGGGATAGAAGGAAGCAACACTGACCTAGGTGTGGAGGACATGGCAGAGGAATGTTTTCCATATGCTATATCAGGACCTACTAGGGTGGCAGACTAAGGTTTGTAAGAATTAAATAGAATGGAATATAGAAGGCACAATAGAAAATATGAGTGCATCATACACAGTGAGGGTACACACATAATCGTTTCATGGTTCTCTTTGTCAGTTGTGTACATGTGCGTTTGTGTGCATGTGTATGAGTGTTGCTGTGTGTGTGTGCGTGTGCGTGTGCGTGTGTGTGTGTGTGTGTGTGAAAGCATGCTGAATTACAATGTAACAAGCTTGTCTTATCTTGGGACAAAGTCAGGAAAATCTGGAATCCATTGAAATAAATGCAAGATTCATTTGGAAGGTCAGTTCCTGTCAATGAGGAAAAGCTACAAGAATGAAGAGCCCAGCAGAGAGCCAAGTGCAGAGAGAAGAGGCAGCTGGCGTGGCTGATGCAGTTTCCTCGGATTCAAGGGACATCATACTGACTGGACCTACACTGTCCTACTGACCTTGTCACAGTGTCCACCTCAGCCCTGATCTAATTGTTATTCCGGTACCTATTTCATGTTTATTTGACCAACCTTGTTTTTATATGGCCCTCTAGTGCATAAGGCTGACCCTTCTCTCACTTTTCTCGTGAAATCTTTCCTTCGTTATTTTTCGCTTTGAGTTTTGACCTCTTTCATGACACATCGGATGGGTACTAGCGTAGTCTTAGTTCTGTTCTGTTTTCAACATGTAAAGGTTCTCCAGACATATTCTATAGAATCCTATTTATGCTACAACTATTGGTCCCTTTTCTTCATACTTTTATCCTGAGGAAATAATGTCATACCACACTTATTTCAACGTACTGGGCCTTCTCCATCGCAATGTGATATCCAATGAGTATGCATCTCACTTATTTTGCTTATCTATGTAGCTTCATAAATATGTGCCTGTAAACAGAATAAATGTTGAGGAATGGGAAAATATGACCAGGTTTAACTAGTGGAATTTAATAACTGTATTAAGTTAACTTGAATAAATATGTAAGACTAATTCTAAAAGAAAATAAATAAAATACAATAATTAATCTAATTCCAGATAATTGACATCAACCTGGAATGAAAAACATAAAAGTAGACTTTTGGAAAGCAGTGGAAGAAATAGCTAATGTTATAATTTCTACCTATGTAAACATAAATGGATTAAAATATGCTTAGAAAAGGATACAGGTGATCATTAATGAATGCAAAACATGAGTAATGACGTAAGTTTTTACATTTAAAAATAATGGGGAACACAATATGATAGATTGTTAGAACTGACTGAAAATTTTTAGAAAAAATTTTAATATTTTCCCCCCAAAACATCTTTACTTATATGAAAAAATTCAATGCTAAACAGCAAAGTTGGTGCAGAAAACCCAATTTTAATATATTAAATTAATCAATTAGTCGACTTAGCAAACATAGATGGCCATCTCTGGGCTCTAGGCAATGTTGGTTAGGCTCTCAGGAAGAAGTTCTCAGGTTCTTTCCTCTCAGATCCTTTGCTGCTGGCTGAGCTCTCAGACTCACCTGGGTGGGGTCTCTCAGAGGAAGGACTCCGTGTGGAAGTCTGAATTTCTTCCTGGATAATTGATAATGGAGACTCAAGCTCTGTCTCCAGAGGAGAGAGCCCAAAGGAATAAAGCATTGATCTTCATCCAGATTTAGGAATCCAAAATAACGAATGTGTCTTATAAAGCCCAAGGTTGCACACATAGAAAAGGAGATATTTTCATCTCCCTTTATTTGCTCATTAAGCACTGTTTACACTGTTGCTCCCCGCTCTGGGCACCAATTTACCTACACTGGTCTGGACTTAATGGATATTATTTCTCCTGAATCTCTGTTCCCAAGGGACCAGGTTAAAAGTCAAGTGAATCCATGA